CAGATATTATGCAATCGTTTGGCGATTCTCTCGAAAGGTGTGATCAAAACCATTGGATTCACTGATGAACTGAAGACTAGATATGCCGTAGGATTTGATATCATTGTTAAAGTGAATAGAGATTCAAATGAAAATTTTATGGAAATACTTCAGAATCGGATGAATGAGATGTTTGATCAAAATTGTAATGAAATATACAACAATTTTGGTCTAATTTATTATAACCTAATTAATACTGACATAAAGTTATCTCAAATTTTCAATTCATTGCAAACATTGAAATGTGAACTCAATTTAGAGAACTATTTGGTGTCAAACTCTTCACTACAACAGGCCTTCCTATCCATCACTCAATCCAATGATAATATTAATATAATTTAAATATAAATATCATTTGAAAATTATCATGTTTGTTTGTTGTTCATGAAATGATTTTAATATGTATCCAATATTACAATTATTAATGCCAATATTTATGTATAATTATTATAATATACGTATTTAATTAAATATTCTGGATATAGTAATTATTCGCTTCATCGACACCAATAGCCAACAAATGGACGACAGGAGCAAAAGTATGACGAGTGCGAGCGCACCACCGATGGCCACAGGAGTCCATGCGATACACGCCATGAGTCCGTAATCAATACAATCATCTGAAGTAATGCTACGATTGATAGTTTTGAGGAAACTTTTGGCCACTCCTTCTCCCTCTTTATTGCACTCTTTCTCCGCGATCTTCACTACACAGGACTCGAGCGACAGATACGCACAGCACAGCACCTGATGGTAATGGTAATCGTGTTATTGCTTGTTCTCATACATGAGTGATGGCATTGTCACATACCTTCTCATCCCTGTCCTGTTTGAATCTGGCGTTGAGTTCGTTGTCATAGGCCTGAAGACAATCGGTGGTGAGTTTGGGTGTGATTGTGATGAGACATCCGGTGCCCAACACTGTGTCCTTAAACTCTTTCCACTGAGCGTTGCATTTATTTAATGCATATATACTTAATATGAAGACTAAAAGTGGTGAACATGTGTTATATCTCATTGTCTGTGACAATTGTGTGTACTATTGTCTTAAATACAGTGACAGTTATATTGCTTTCAATACAATCAACACAACAATCAATATTATTGATCACTTTTGTACTGTATATCAAATAATTAGATTAGGGGACGTTCACAAATTATATTTGCACTAGGGGGTCGGGGGTCGACCAACGGCCAAATTATACATCCCATTAAAGTTAATGTCAAGTTAATTAATAAGTAAATTATATTACTATTTTTAATGAAAAATAAAATCACATATACAAAACTTCAAATCAACAGTATTTGATTCATGAATTATAACAATAAACAATTTCACTTATATTAATTATAGTAAGTATCATAAACTATTTTTTGATAAAATAATTTAAAAGTATACATGATTTAAATATTTACCTAATCATCTAGAACGTATTCATACAATTATGAATTATGATCAAATAAAATATTACATTTAAATTACTTAAAATGATAGCAAAATAAATAAAATTGGTTAAACATTGACACAATAATTAAATTACTAACAAATATACTGTAGTATATTTAATAATAATGATCTTGGGCGTTATTAGTACATTTGTCTATCTCGTTTTGCAATAAGGTAGGCATAAAATGCGGTCACAGCGACTATACCCAAATTGCTGAGACCGGCGGCCACGTTATAAAACATATTAATTACAACACCAATAATGCATAAAACCAAATAAATGATCACGATGATCTTATACTCCTTAGTAATGCCAATTAGCACGATAACTTCAAACAATACGGCCACGGTGGAAAATATGGCAAAGTATACAGCAACCTTTTCTATATTTGAAAGACAAATATTATTTTAGAAAATGTCATAAGAATATACAAATATTTAATTAGTTTAATCTCACTTATTTCATCAGGGTTGTTTTCATTTGTTACAATTCCATTGCTGTTCGTTGTAGTGACGGTTAAATTTTTGCTGTTTGGCGAGAATGCAATCGTCAGTCCAATCAAACTAATTACGGCAAAAATTATTAGCAATATTAGTAGCAACGAGTGTATAATGATCAAGGTGATTTTCACGCCCCGGAAACAGCTCTCCGACTCCAGACACTGTTGGAAATCTCCTTTGGACATGACTTTTGGTCACACTATTATTACAATGTGTTGCAATAATTTACACTTGTTAATTTATTATAAATAATCTATAACACCTTATATAGGTGTATATAGAATATTGTTTAATAGTTTGTTAATAACTTATTAAATATTAATAATAGTTTATTATTCAACAATTAGATTAATAGAAATATCAAAGTTATACAGTATTACTATTTAGTTATGAAAGCGTTGTGTTTGCAAATGAAAGTGTTGTGAGCGTACGTGAAATGCAAATAATTTAAAATAACACTAGAGATCACGTATTTAGTGATGGGATGTTGTCAGAGTGAATGTCAGAGAGAGAGAGAGAGAGAGAGAGAGAGAGAGAGACATAATAACGGTTAAGAATAAGTGTATATACTTTTTATCGGAGAGGGTCTACAATTTCGTATGACATCT